ACTTAGACATGGGGCATTCTTCTAAAACCATCCTTAGATGGCCTGTAGTAGCCTCTTCATTCTGACCAGCAACAACCTTGCTTTTTGAATAAGATCTGGTATTACGAGGCATGATTGATGTTGCATAACCTTGTAAAGAAAAACTGGATTTGTTGAAATATGGAAAGCTTGGCAGAAGACCCTCCTTATAGTACCAAAATGTTGATGTAGAGATTCGCACTAATAAAAAGTATGCAAGATTCTGGATGAATCTACGTGGGAGACTATTGAAGACCTAAGGGTTTGATGTAGAATCAATTAATGTAAAGGCAAGCAAAGGAAAAGAAAATAGAAGAGATTTTTAAAGTGGTTTGGATGTTGAAAGAAAATCCTATGTCCACTATTATGTTATTGCACTTGCCGCGTAACGAGCTCACTACAATGTGTTTTTTTATGAGCATTCTATAACCTAATTTTGTGCCTCCCAAAAAAAAAAAAAAAAAAAAAAACTGATTATAATGGGGTTTATATAGGGCCAACTACATGTTTGAATTGGAAATAAACATTGTATCTTTAGAACAGGAAAACAATTTGATCTTCAACTCTCATTTGGGAATTCATATTGCTTTACTAAAGTGGGGATTATCCTTTCCTGACTTATTGCACAATGAATTGGAAATAAAGCCAAACTTTGATAGATTAGGAAAGCAATGTGATCTTCGGCCTTAACTTTGGAAAGATATCTTTGCGCCAAACTAGGATTTATCCTTTCTAGATTTTCTGCATGTTGTGTGTGGTTTTTCCGCCAAGCTTAGGGCTACGCAAGGATATAGCTCAACCCAGAATGAGCTCGACAACAATGATTAATTGACCTAGCATAAGGTTGTCGAGCCGTAGCTCGACCTAGCATAAGCTAGTCACAGATAGTTCAAGTAATCATTCAATCTGCCTCCAAATTATCTCAAATCCTAGATATTACGGGAAGGACTCAATCAATAGCGATCACTATGCAATCATAACACCAAATCGCGAGGGCATCGAAATTGCGATTTAGATTGATTGTAATCCCCTAAATTTCGCTTTTTTCTCTGTACAAATCTTGTGTAAAAACCCCCTCGAATGATGAAAAAAGGATTTTTTTTTTTCAGATAAGAATGGCATTGTAAGCTCTTACCGAAATTACAAAAAACTCAGTGGACGTAGGCTGTTAACCTCGCCGAACCACTTTAAAAATCTCTTTGTTTTTAATTCATTTCGTTCATATTCATTGCTAATTTTCACTAACCATGCACACATCGGTTTCGATCTGGCAAGGTTGATCGGATCACGCTGGTTGGTGCAGAATTCTGTATCAACATTTTGTCGCTAGAAGGTGGGCCTCCGCCAATATTTCAAAGATTCCAAAAAATGTTCACCGCAGTTTACTTGTCCTAAGACCAAAATGGTGTTCACCAGATCAAGAACTACCACTAGAAATCACAGGAACGTGGAAACCACCCATCGGGAGGTACAACAGGAGAACGCGAGACGTGAACCACCTGTGTTGCCAGCTCAGCACGCCACAAACAACCAGGGGGCAGGGACGTCAAATCCCAAGAACAGCCAGCCAATGGAGATGGTCAGGACAATGGTTGCACAGGCGGTACAACAAAAGGTGGTTGAGTTGAGGAGCCAACAACTAATTGCCCAGAACCTTGACCTGTCGTGTTTCGCCAATGCCACCCTAATAAGTATGAATTCTGCAGGTGGACAGTTTGCTTCGTCACTGCTGAGGGGTAGTCAACACCTCTAACCTCGCAAGCAGCATGCCACGCACGAGCGTGAGTCCTGCGAGTGAACAAACCGTGGGAGGCAACCAGGGAAGCAGTCGCTGAGGGAAAACGAAGGCGACAGACCTAACCGAGAACATCGATGGTATCCCCAGCGTCAGTATGTTAGTTTTAACCCACGCCCAAGGCAAGATCAATCTTCATAGGCTCGCGAAGAGAGGCATGTGCGACAATTTGACAATGACCGACATATTGGTAATGACCAACGTTGCGAGTAATGCATTGATGAGCACGATAACACTTACCAACCCAGCCATCATGACTCAACCTAGTGCATCAACGTGCGTGTTGGAGGAGCTTCACAAGCAACAGACTTTTGAAGTTATTTGCTCAAGGTACAATTTAACAAAGCAAACCAGGGCAACCAAAGTGAAGACTTAGATCGCATGTAAAAGATGCTCAGTGATTTAAAAGCTCGCCAAAACAATCTGGTAGAGGAGATAGTAAGTTCTCCCTTTACGGAGGAAGTTCCCCAAGCCCCGCTCCCACAAGGGAGAGGGGATCCCAAGGATCACCTCGATAACTTTAATGACCCGATGGAGCTATACCAGGTCAGTGATTTAGCAAAATGTCGGTGCTTCGCAGTCACATTAGTCGGAGATGCCAAAAGGTGGTAGAAGCGGCTTAAGGCAAACTCTATCAACTCCTAGCAACAATTCTCCACACTATATCTACAACAATTCCAGGTGAGGAGACTGTTCGCAATGCTGCTTATCTGCTTGATCAACATTCGCCAAGAGCATGATAAATCATTGACTTCGTATTTAACGAGGTTCTAGAACGAGCAGGCAAAGGTTGCTGATGCCCTCGAAGAATCCATTTAGTTGCTGATGCCCTCAAAGAATCCATTCAGACTCTGCTGATCGTAGGGAGCAGACTTAACATAGAGCTATGGAAAGAGCTCCAGAGTGAAGATCATGTGAGTCTGGCCAAATTCTACCAGATGGCTGCGAAATACTAGTGAGTAGAGAGCTCGTTAGCAATACTAGCCAGAAGCTTGTTGCGGGGGGCTTGGACAGAAGACATGATTACCCCTTAGATAAGCGTGGGGGCCAAGACCGTAGTGACAGGAATCGTAACAGATTTCAAAAGAAATAGAGAGTAGATAACTACGGAGATAGGCAGCCATTCCTGCGGTATGCAGAGTACACCCCCCTCACTCAAGACATTGCCCACATCTAGGAGTATCCTAAGAGGCCAAGAGGTTGCTTGCTTCAGAAAGGATGAGGGGGGCACTAGGCAGAAGAGATCGATAGAAATATTGCTAGTACCACAAAGATGTCAGGCACAACATGAATGACTGTCGAGATCTGAAGGATGCCATCGAGGACCTGATAAGAAAAGGTCATTTGAAAGAATTCATTAAGGCAGAACTAGCTCGAGAGAATCCTGGCAAGGAAAGCAACCAGGTCCCAAGTTAGGTACAGACCCCAGCTCAATAGGCTCCGCCAAACCCCAGTGAGGTCTTCGTGAATATGATCTACGGAGGATCGGATATAACGGGAAGCTCGAGATGAGCTCGCGAGCAATAGCTCGAGAGGCTAAAACAGACTCGGTTCCCTAAATAATGAGTTGCAAACAGAAACCGCCTAAACAGCCCAAACAGGAAAGCGATGTAGTGGGGTTCACAGTCGACTAGTGTGAAACATCCCCTTGTCATAATCATGACGTGATTGTAATTGTAGCCAAGCTTGGCAATGCAAAGGTGTTAAGGGTTATGGTCGACAATAGGAGCGCGACAAACATCATTTTCTTGGGAGGTTTTCGAACAGAATGGAACTTGAGAGCGTGCCCTTCGCCATTCTATGGGTTCACCGGGGACAACCTGGTTCCCAGAGGTCCTATTAACCTTTTTGTAACTCTGGGGGTAGAGCCAAAGGTGAAAACTGTGATGGCCGAATTCCAAGTGGTGGACTACCGGACCACGTATAACGTCATCCTTGGAAGGCCAATCCTGGATGATTTAAGTGCAGTCACATCAGTGCGCTAACAAGCAATGAGATTTTTGACTTCTAGGGGAGTCACGATGATCAGGAGCTGCACCAAGGAATCTCGAGAATCCTACAATCGGGTTATAAACGCCACGCAGAAATGGCCACACCATAAAATAATGACCATCGTAGAATCTAAGCCGAACTCTAGACCGCTAGAGGACACTATAGATCCTCACATCCACAAAAAAGAGCTCACGGTAGGACCAACCAAAGAGCTGCTAGAAATAAGTGTTAGCGAGGAGGATCCAACTCACGTGCTGAAGATTGGCAACAGCTTGACCAGGGAGATGGTTGATAGTCTGGTCGAGTTCCTGAAGAAGAACCTTGACGTATTCGCATGGGTGCACGTGGATATGGTCGGGATTAACCCTAAGGTGATGTGCCACAGGTTAAACCTCGACCCATAGGCTCAACCCTTAAGACAGAAAAGAAGAGCCATGGATGCAGAGCACTCTCAAGCACTCAAGGATGAAGTCGACAAACTCCTGGAAATTAACTTCATCAGGGAAGTCAAGTACCTAGACTGGCTCGTAACCTAGTCGTAGTCAAGAAGTCGAATGGCAAGTGGTGGACTTGCGTCGACTTTACAGATCTAAACAAAACCTGTCCGAAAGATAGCTTTTCGCTACCATGGATCGATCAGCTAGTAGATGCGACAGCGAGAAACGCACTTCTTAGCTTTATGGACGTGTACTTAGGATATAACCAAATCTCGATGTACCAGCCTGATGAAGAACATACATCATTTATTACTGACTGTGGAATTTATTGTTACAAGGTTATGTCGTTTGGCCTTAAGAACGCAGGGGTAACCTACCAACGCTTGGTGAACAAGATGTTTGCCAACCATATTGGCCATTCCATGGAAGTGTACATCGACAACATGCTCATCAAATCAAAGGTCGTCCAAAGCCATATTGAGCACTTAGGGGAAACGTTTGACATCCTCAGAAAGTATCAAATGAAGCTCAATCCATTGAAATGTGCTTTCTGGGTGAGCCCCAGGAAATTCGTAGGCTTCCTCGTGAACCAACGGGGTATAGAAGCTAACCCGAAGAAGATTCAAGCCATGTTCGACATGAAAAGCCTAACCGGAATAAAATAGGTACAGATACCATTCTTTGAGACCTTGAATGGGACGAAAGGTTTCAAGTGGACAGAAGAGTGTGAAAGAGCCTTCTAAGAGTTGAAGAAATACCTCGGAACGCCTCCCTTATTGTCAAAACCCATCCAGGGTGAGCCGCTACTACTGTACTTGTCGGTATCAAAGTCCATTGTCAGTGCCGCGTTGGTACGCGAAGAGGAAGGAATATAATGGCCAGTGTATTATGTGAGCAAGAGACTGCTTGACGCGGAAACAAGGTATCTGGATATGGAAAAGCTCACCTACGCCATCGTTGTTGTAGCCAGAAAGCTGCGACCTTGTTTTCAGGCACACTCCATCCATGTGCTGACGAACTTCCCCTTGAAGAAGATAATGCAGAAGCCCGAGGCATCAGGTGGACTAATCCAGTGGATGATGGGGATGAGTCAACACGACATTAGGTATATTCCGAGGACATTGATCAAAGGCCAGGCTGTGGCAGATTTTATATCTGAGTTCTCCTATCAACTAGAGGCCGAGCCAAGCCCGCTAGAGATCGAGCAATGGAAGCCAAAGAGTGACGACTTATGGCTATGGACTCTATACGTAGATGGCTCCTCGAATGAAAATGGAGCAGGAGTGGGCCTATTGCTTGAAAGCCCAAACGGAGACCGAATTAGAGTCGCAATAAAATTTGGGTTCAATACCTCCAACAACGAAGCTGAGTATGAGGCATTGCTCGCAGGTATCCGTCTCACCAGGGAAATAAGGGTAGATTCCATCAAGATCTACAGTGACTCACAGCTCGTGGTCTATCAAGTTATTAGGGAATACTAGGCAAAGGAAGATAGGACAGCATCCTACCTTCAGCAAGTAGAGATTGAGCTTAGACAGTTTAGATCCTTTTCCATTCACCATATCCCAAGGGAGAAAAACTCGCAGGCAGATGCATTAGCTCGCTTAGCCTTAGCAATGAATAATGAGAAGGTCGATTCGATCCTAGTTAAATTCCTCCAAAAACCAAGCATCCCCGCTCTACAAGGCCCAATGTTGACCACAAGTCAAAGGTACAGTTGGATGATTACAATCACCACCTATTTGAGGAACGACACATTACCAGAAGACAGAGCCGAAGCTAGAGCACTCCGCATAAAGGCAACTCGGTACACGCTCATTAACGATAGACTATACAAGTGAGGATTTAATGTACCGTTGCTGTAATGTATTAACCGCGAGGATGCAAATTATGTTATGAGGGAAATACATGAGGGAATTTGCGGAAACCACGAAGGGGGTAGATCTCTAGCTTACAAGGTGCTCTGTCAGGGATACGACTAGCCAACAGTTTATGATGATGCAGTGGACTATGTCCACAGATGTGATAGATGCTAGAGATTTGCAAATATTTCACGAGCTCTACCACAAGAATTGACCACTTAAACAAGCCCGTGGCCATTCGCGATCTGGGACATTGACCTTATCGGCCTATTGCTTCAGGGAAAAGGGGGCGTTAAATTCGCAGTAGTTGTCGTGGATTATTTCACCAAGTAGGCGGAAGCCGAATCACTGGTAATAATAACGTCAAGTCGACTAAAGGATTTTGTCTATAAGAACATAGTTTGTCAGTTTGGGATTCCCCACATAATAATAACTGACAATGGGAAGTAGTTCGACCTCGAAGATTTTAGGACCTTCTACGAGCAGCTTGGCATCAAGAAGAGTTTTGTTGTTGTCTATTGGCCTCAAGCCAATGGACAAGTAGAGGCTGTGAATAAAGTAATCAAGCACACCATAAAGAAGAAGCTCAACGACCTTAAGGGAATTGGGCTGACGAGCTACCAGAGGCTTTATAGTCCTACAGGACGACTGCCAGAAGCTCGACGGGCGAAACCCTATTTTTTTTGTCTTATGGATGTGAGCCGATGATCCCGGTTGAAGTAGGAATTAGTTCGTTTTGAAGAGAATTCTTTGACGAAGAAGAAAATGTAGACCTTCTCTGCCTAAAACTAGACTTGATCGAAGAATATCAGGCTAAATCTCAGCCAAGGCTCGCCTCGTATCAACAGTGAGTCAAGAGATACTTCAATACCAAGGTCAGAAACAGAGACTTTGAAGTGGGTGATCTGGTCCCAAAAAACGTTGTCCAGGGTACTCAAAACCCGAACTTGGGGGCACTTGGGCCAAAATGGGAGGGTCCCTTCAAGATATCTGAAAAGCTTGCACCAGGGTTTTTTCACCTGGAACGCCTCAACGGCGAAGCAATAATGCGAGCATGGAATGCTGAGCACTTGCAAAGGTATTACCAATAAAAAGCTCGGGTTTTACTCGTTCTTATGTTCAGTATTCACTGTAAGGCCATTCACGACCAAAACTCTTGATTAATAAACAAGGTACTATTCATTATTTTCTTCGATTCATTGTTAACATCTTAAGATCGTTAGCGTTTTACTAAATCACGACCTAAGTGATGATATTCTAAAAACTCAAGGTCAAGAGTCCAGGAAAGGTAGCTTATCTCGAACAAGCCATGCCAAAATCCAACTCATCGAGGGTCAAACATCCCTAAGTCGACAAAGTTAAACTTGAAATTAATAGGAAAAAACACGTTGATTGAAATCGGCCCTAAGCCGACGACCAAAGAACTCGAAAGGGACAATAAGTCTAAGATCAAAGTTTATCATCACATTAGATTTCCTCGCAAAAATCGGGATTAAAAATCCCAAATCGACAAGGTTAAACTTGGAAAAATCCAAGAAAAAGCACGTTGGGAAAAATCAACCTTAAGCCAGCAACGAAAGCCCAAAGAGGATGACAAATCCGAAATCAATATCAATGCTAAACGTCGCATAAAGATTTTCTCGCAAAAATCCAAAAAGCTCCTAAAGAAGCGAGTACACACAACTTAGAGCAAATTTAGATCCCAAAGTTTGACTAGGACAAATTAAATGAATCCGTATAAATATAACAGCCATTGCTCGAAAAAGAAATGATGAAAAAAATTATTTCATTAATTAAAGCTCGATTACAAACGGGCAATTATAAAAAAAAAAAAAAAATAATAAAACAAGGAATTCTTCAGGCTGATGGAGGAGTCGGAGCTTTATCCTCGACCTGTCTAAAAAGGTCGACACCCTTAGGAAGAGATGGCTTGTCAACAAGAGGAGTGGTGACTTCCACTCCGAGATCGAGAACCTCAGTTGGTAGCATCGTGTTCAAGGGAGTTGGATCCTCGACTTGGAGCTGGGGCTCAGTCTTCTTCTCTCCTCTTTTGACATCTCATTGGTCCTCGCCTTCTTCCTCAGACTCATTCGAGTAAACATAGGTCTCCCCTCGGCTTCGACCCTCATCCATTCAACTTCCTTTTGATAAGCTTGGGGAAGAAAAGAGAAGTCGATTGAAGGATGGGCTTCCTATAATTTTTGAACAAGGAAGACGGATGTTTCCCAAGCCTGAGCAGTAATGGCCTCATTCAGTTCGTCAGCCTGAAGCCTGAGCTACCTAGCCTCAGTTCGGCCTTCTGGCGACCTTCCACCTCTTAGCCAAGGTCGAGCGAAGAATTTTTGGATTTGGCCTCCTAACTCGCCGCAGCTTTCTGAGCTAAGGATAGCTTAGAGTTCAGTTTGTTGTTGGCACCCCGCTACTGCGCCAAAGTCTATGCGACGTCTACTACCTTAGCCAAGTAGCCTCACTCTCTTTGAACTTGTCAAGAAATTCCCTTTCCCTGACCTAGAAGGTCGCGTCTTCCCCTCTGAGTCACTCGAGCTCAGCAAGCCTAACTTCTTTCTCCTTCTCTACAAGCTTGGCCCTAGCCATAGCATCTTCCTTCACGGCCTTCATAGCCTGCCATTTCTAATGGTTTGCCTCTAAAGTGTCATTTCATTCCTTGTACAGAAGTCTGCTTGCCATGGCAACCTGAAAAGAGGAGATGGGGAATTAGCAAGAGGCAAGAATAACCTGCCAAAAAAAAAAAAAAACAAAAAAAAGGTGGGGCGTGAACTATCGGTACCTTCGCTGCATAACTGCAGGTTAAAGCCAACATCTGGGAGGGAGACGAGTCCGTGACGACCGCGAATGTTCACGGGCTGACACAATCCCTGGCCACCGCGACCTTAACACTAATATGGTAGGGAAGTTGATCGATCAGCCCATCGACCGCAACTGGGACTGCTTCATCTGTTTCCTTATTCTTTGGTTGGGACGAGCCAGGTTTGCTCACCCTAGAAGCACCTGCCTCGCTAGTAGGAACAAATTTCTTCTTGGCCAAGCCTTTGGCCACTAGCTTGCGTGGTGACCTCTTGCCCGAACCAATTTGCTGCTCAGGTGCTTTATTTTTTCCTAAACTTCCAATTGGTTCGGATGCCTTCTTCCCTGGCCCCTTTCGGGGCTCCATAATGCTTTTCCTGCTAACTGCCTTAGTGGCATTTACGGGCTTCTTCGCGCTTGGGCCTCCCCTAAGCTCGCCACCAGCGCGCTTCAAGTTGGCAGTTTCTATAGGTTACTTCATCCTCGAAGCAGTCAGAGCCTTTGTAGCAGCCGCAGGGGTAGCTGTTTTCTTCTTTATCAGTTTTTTGCCCAACATTTTTGCAAGGAAAAAGGCAAGAGAATTAGCAATCTATTTTGCGCGAGAAAGCAAGCAAGAGCAAGCAACAACTTACCTTTTCCCAAAAGTGCTAAGAAATTGGCCTCGTCCTGACAGAAGCTGTACGCTTTCAGGTGAGGAAGCGTAAGAAGCTCGTTGATGTTGTGCTGATTATCCGAAAGATCGCTAAAACGCTGCAGCGTCTGCAAGCTCACAGATGGAAGATAACTCTGCTCAACGTTAATTGCAAAAATAAAACAAGATGATCAGTTAGAGTGTACAACTTGAGAATAATCCTCAGACATACACGGGAAGCCCGAGCCTTACTCGCTTTTGCAGTGAAGACACTGTTCTCTCGGGCTTCGTAGAAAAAGAACTGTGAATCCTATTGTAAAACTTCTTTCGAAACATTGATTAGTCCGTTAAAATGTACTCTCTTCATTTTTGAAAGGTGGTACGTCTGGTCTTGCCCCTTCTTGAGCTTGTACAAGTGGACGAGCTCTTTGATGGATGGCTTGCCCAATTCAACGATCATGTACATGATGTATATCGCGATAATGATCATGTAAGAGTTGGCCATCAGTTGAAGAGGAACAATGTCGAATCGCCTTA